TCGTGCTGCTCCAAATGAGCAGTGCCTCAAGTGGATGACTTTAACATCAGGAGTTTAAAAGTAACAACTCAGTTGCTGGCAGCAAATTCCGCCGTGGAGTTAATTGCCAGTCTCATTATAGGAAATAACTACTACCAGCTGCCTAGCCAAGTTGACACATATTTGCATGGTCACATCCAGTAATCAGTGGGAGGTACAAAGACTGGCTAAAAAAGCCAAACCATGTAATTCACTACACCGCAGACCACCTTTTATGCTTCAGAAATTAACATGCCATTCACAATCAGTTTGACAATAACCACACCCATGAAAACTTGTAAGCCAGCCACTTGATGCCTTTATCTCCCCCCATTTTAGATAACCAATTTCTAATTTGCCTATCCCTGTCAAACCAGTACTGCGGTAACAAGCATGTTCCTTTCTCTCTGAAGAATCTTCTGTTCTGCTTGGAACTTTGGGCATCTACATCCATAAATAAGCAAAGTACAGTCCAGTGCAAGCCATCAAATTGCAGCAACTTTAACACCAACTCAGTGTCAAACATCTTCCTCTTTATTTGATTGGGTTCTGGTCACCTCAGCCCTAGCCATCCCAGCTGGTCATGGGTACCAACTGCCAAGTTTGGGAGTCACACTCCTCACTTTACTTCAGACCAGCCAGCACTTCCTGTCTCTCATCATTAGTCTTCAGGCTCCACACAGCTCCTCACACTTCAGAACAGCCAGCATTTTCTCTCATCCCAAGCCTCCATGGCTTAGGTCAGAGAATACCAAACTCACCCCATTTCTTCATTGCTGCACTTCCCCCATTTCTACTCTTCAAGTGGAACCTAGTGGTCACAAGAGAGGCGTATACAAGGCCATCTACTCAACAACTTCCTTTAACTTCCAGTCTTGGAAGAGGTTTCTCTCATGGGCCATGACTTTGCTACCTCAATGCATCCAAAGCCTAACTGCTTGCTCAACAAATCCACCCCCCACTACAGCCCCCCCACATGCACAGGTCCAGTCTTCAAATGCAAATTTCTTCACTCAGCAGTTCTGGGTGGGGCTCAGGCTTTCTACCTAAGCCCCCTGTACACCACACACAGGGTTTGAAACAAAAGCCTGTGTTTCTTCTGGACAAATTCTATTTCCACTTTTAACATATCCAATCAAGTGTTGGCTGAAGGCAGATTTACATGCTCTCTGTTATCCATACTTCATAATCATTTCTAACATACAAGTAAGGAAGAGAACATTCAGTACCCATAGTGCATTCAGATAAGCACATAATCTACAACATATAACCGTATTTAAGACATTCCAGTTTCATCTCCTCACCTTGATAATCTTCCCATTCTGTGTGTATGGCCCTTGGCCTTTGGCTGAGTGTAACCAAAAGCCCTACCCTGTGCATCAGCCAAGATCTATCTAACATCAGCAATGATATCCCTCATTCCATGTCCTCTTCTGAATCTTGCTTGCATTTCTGGAAGTTCTCTGTCAGTATTCTACAGCAACTGTTTTTGAATTATTCTCAGCAAGACTGAAGAAGAATTGATGCTTTTGAGATAAGGTGTTGATGAAGAATGTTGAAAGTACCATGGACTGCTAAAAGAACTAACAAATCTGTCCTGGAGGAAGTGCAGCCAGAATGCCCCTTGGAAGCGATAATGTCCAGACTTTGTCTCATCTGCTTTGGTCATGTTGTCAGAAGGGACCATTCTCTGAGAACAATGTCATGGTTGGTAAGATGGAGGGTTGACGAAGGAGGGGAAGGCCCTCAACAAGATGGATTGGCACAGTGGCTGCAGCTGTGGAGTCAAGTATAGTGGGGATTGTGGAGCTGGCACGGGACTGGGCAGTGTTTTGTTCTGCTGTGCATAGGGTTGCTGTGAGTTGGAGGCAACCGAACAGCACTTAACAACAGCAGCAACAGCAAGATTTTACTTGCATGTGGTATTAATGATATTGTTTGATAATTTCCACATTCTGTGTGATCACCTTTCTTTGGAATGGGTATAAATATGGATCTCTTCCAGTCACTTGGCCATGTGGCCGTCTTCCACATCTCTTGGCATAGCCAAGTGAGCGCCTCCAGCATGGCATCCATTTGTTGAAACATCTCAGTGGGTATTCCACCAATTTCTAGAGCCTGGTTTTTCGCCACTTGCTTCAGTACAGCCTTGACTTCTTCCTTCAGTACCATTGGTTCTTGATCATATGCCACTTCCTGAAATGGATGAACAGCAACCAATCCTTTTGGTACAGTGACTCTGTGTATGCCTTCCAAGAGGATATGGCGTGGTTTAAAATCGAGAAGGGAGTGCATCAGGGTTATATCCTTTCACCATACATACTCAATTTGTATGCTGAGCAAATAATCTGAGAAGCTGGGTTGTATGAAGAAGTACATGTCATCAGGATTGAAAGAAGGCTCATTAACAACTTGTGATATGCTGACAACACAACTTTGCTTCCTGAAAGTGAGGATGACTTAAAGCACTTATTGATGAAGATTGAAGGCTGTAGTCTGCAGTATGGATTATACCTCAATAAAAAGAAAACAAAAATCCTCACAACTGGACCAATGGGCAGCAAGCATGATAAATGGAAAAAAAAGATTGACGTTGTCAAAGACTTCATATTACTTGGTTCCACAATCAACATGAATGGAAACAGCAATCAAGACATTAAGTGAATATTGCACTGGGCACATCTGCTGAAGAGCAAAGATGTCTCTTTGAAGACTAAAGTGCACCTAACCCAAACCATGGTATTTTCAATCACCTCTTAGGCTTGTGAGAGCTGGATAATGAATAAGGAAGACCATAGAAGAGTTGATGCTTTTGAGTTGTGGTGTTGGTGAAGAATACTGAGAGTACCATGGGCTGCTAAAAGAACTAACAAAACTGTCCTGGAAGAAGTGCAGCCAGAATGCTCCTTGGAAGCAAGAATGGCCAAACATCATCTTACCTATTTTGGTTATGTTGTCAGAAGGTACCTTTTGCTGGAGAAGGATATCAAGCTTGGTACAGTGGAGGGTCAATGAAAAAGTGTATCAAGCTTGGTACAGTGGAGGGTCAACAAGATGGATTGACACAGTGTCTGCATCAATGGGCTTGGGTATAGCAGGGATTGTGAGGTTGGCACAGGACGGGGCAGTGTTTCATTCTCTTGTACATAGGGTTGCTATGAGTGGGAGACAACTCAGTGGCACCTAACAGCAAGAACAACTGGATCAATTATTTCCTTTAATTGGCCTGGCTTTTGCCTCAGCCTTTCTCCCCTCAGCTGTAGCATAATGTCTCTATATTCTGCCATTACAGGTAACACCAACCAAAGTAACCATCTAAGAATCCAAAGTTTCACTTCCCAGGCCCCTTCCTTCTTTCTTTTACAAAGTTCCAAGCTTCTCTGAGTCTGGAGGCACTGCAACGAATCCCGCTTCTGGCACCAACTATTAAAGGGGCAAATAGGTAGCATCTTTTGACCTCCTCTAGCTACATAAGTGAAAGAATCACCATCAGCTGCAGCAAGGCCTGTTCCTATGAGGCTGGAGATGTTGCCACCCTCAAAGATGCTGCCTCCCTGCCCTTTTAGCATTTTACCACAAAAAAATGTATTATTTTTTTTGGAAAAAAAAAGTATGCACACAGGCAGTTTCAAATTGGGATAAGGTTATGAAGGAAAAGGATAAGATACTATGAGAACACAGGGCAGGGGAGGGCTTAATTTAGATTGAGAGTTTCAGGTAAAGCTGAGGCCCAAACTCTGAGGAATTAACCAGATAGATTGGAGAATATGCCAAATAGAGAAGCTATATGGCAACGGCCAAGAGGTGGGGAGAAGAGCATTTGAAGAGCTGAAGGAGACCAGTGTGCATGTGATGGTATTGAGCTGGGAGAAGCTGGCACAAGATAGTGAGGTGGGTAGAATGGGGCATGGTTCTTGGAGCTGCAACTTAGGAAAGCAGTATCTGACCATAGTAAGTCAGAAATGCTGAGAAGAAAGCATGCAAACCTGTCGTCCCCTGAAAGCAAACAGTCTCTCTGCCTCGGCCTCCATACAAAGTCAGTGTTCGTTGTGACCTTACTGCCTTTATTTCAAAGGCCTGGTACCATGGCCAAAGATACTAGGTGCCATTTGTGCATATCACCACTGTAGCTTCTGTGGGAACCTGGCCTCCACACTGAGCACATAAATGAATTAAACAAGTACATGTTATGTGTTCTGAGAAAAATAGCAAGAGCACACTTAGATCCTGGTCTTTAAATTAGAAATTGGCCATTCACCCCTAGATACACAGATGTTCAGGAAATATGACTTGGGAAGTTGGGATGTAAAGTATTGTATCATATTTATTATTCTACTGCCAACCTGTTTGAATAGGAGTTCCCCTTTTATAAAATGTCAGTAAATTTGTTAAAGGCACGCTGTAACAAGACATTGACTTATTTTTCGGCAGTGGGGTCAGTTTTTTCCTACTTAAATTAGAAGGAATATCTCTTTAATTATTGCCAGTATAGGTTAATATGAAAACAAAGCCCCAAAACAAAGCTCAGAAGGCAGGAAAAGACAAAAGGATATGGAGAACACAGAGAAGAAGTGGGAAAAGCACTGTTACATTGTGGGGATTACATCCATTGACCAAAAAAATACAATTGTATAAACTATAACAAAGTGTAAATTTTTTTAATGGAAAACTAATACACTTTGTAAACTTTTAACAAGACACAATAAAAAGTTTGGGGGGGGGTATAGCGCTCCATTACTCTGTTTTTGTAATCTATGTGATTATATTTCAGTGCATTTAATTACTGTCAGCATGTGATTATTGGGAAATTTTCACTTTTAGACATAGCTCAGAGTTCTCTGATAAGTGGTTCTTTCCTTGAATCAAGTGTACTGCAGAGTGAAAACCAATTTCTTGAACCATAAGAACATCATTTCTCTTTCCTACACTAGAATTCTGGAGAAGAATGCACTGAGGACCAATTACTCTTTCATTCTTCATAGATTCTTCTTCATCCTTTGGTGAAAACTGCAACAAAAGATGGCTGCAAATAAGCCCAAGGGTCAGAATTCTTTGGCCTTACACAAAGTCATCATGGTAGGCAGTGGTGGTGTGGGGAAGTCTGCTCTCACTCTGCAGTTCATGTATGATGAGGTAAGTGCTAATTTTATAATGAGTGTCCATGTTTGGGTTTTCAGAGTCTGTTTCTCTAGCTTAGGTTTGGTGTTGTTTTGAATGGATTCCTTAAATCCTTGAAAGCTACTTGTTGTTATGTGCCATCGAGTGGGACCCAACTAAAAGCTACTAATCATTTTTTATTCATTTTAAAATCCAGCGCCAACACCTGTACTTCATTTTACAAGTCAAGAACTCAAGGTCTTTGAAAACCTCATGCTTAAAAACTAAATAAATATTGAAAACAGTACCTAATTTGGATTTAAAAGTCTGAAAATAATATCTGTATTTTGAGCAATCTAACTTTGGTTTATTTTCAGTGTTTTAGTGGAGATTCTCACCTTGAATTAATAGAACTGGTAGATATAGTACCTGAGACTTGAGGTTAACATATATAAAGTGTTCTTTACTAACTTCAGTGAATAGATCTGTTACTTGTTGTATATTTGGCTTGGCACTACAGTCACCACTAAATAAGTAAAATGTTGTTGTTGTTGTTATTTGCCTTCAAGTCGCCCCCGACTCATAGCGACCTCTCCTTGGGTTTCCGAGGCAGTATCACTATGGAAGTAGGATTGCCCAACCTTCCTTCCGAGGAGTAAAATAGGTCCCTAAAATTTACAATTACAAATTTCCCTGCATGTGTTTGCATCAAGGTTTATTGTCCCAGAATTAATCTGCCTACATAACATCAATATTTTCTTTCCCTGGAGAACTGTTACCAGGTCTTAGTGATTTACAAGTTGGTAATCCACTTTAATTAAGTACATATCCTCCCAGTACAAGCAAAGTTTTACCATTATATTCTTTCTTTCTTAATGTTTCTTAATAATCCTGAATGTTAAGTGGTATTATCCCCATTTTACAGATGAGAAAACAGCCTCAGAGGGCTTACCCAACTTGCCCAAGAGTGATCTCTGATGAGACTAGGTACAAGGCTGGTCCCGTGACATAAAAATCTTACAGATCACTTTATGTCTCTTGCTCTTGCCTACTCATGAACATTTCTTTTATACAAAAAAAATAAAACCTTTGTTGTTGATTATAATAAAGCTTGAGGAGAGAGAAAGGATTAAGATGGTACTTTAAATGAAATAACGTTTATCTGTTTATTTCTGTTTTCCATACTATTTATTTAATAGCTGTCTTCTCTCAAGCTAATCTTTAAATCAGTCCCTTTCTCCTTGGCAATAAAAAACATTGCCATTGAGTTGGTTCTGACTCATAGTAACCCTATAGGACACAGTAGAACTGCCCCATGGAGTTTCCAAGGCTATAAATCTTTATGGGAGGAGACTGTTTCATCTTTCTCCTGCATAGTGACTGGTGGGTTTGAACTATCTACCCTTTGGTTAGCAGCCAGTGCTTTACCACTATACCACCAGAGCTCCTTTTTCCTTAATAATACAAAAAAAAAAAAACCTAAAGAATATTCAGGTACCTGACATTGACTGAATGGCTGAGCACAGTATTAGCATGTAAATGTAGTAGAATGATGTATTGTTGTTATGTGCCATCAAGTCAGACCTGACTCATTGCAACACCTCCTTGGGTTTCCGAGGTAATCTCACTACGGAAGTAGATTGCCCAACCTTCCTCCCGAGGAGTGGCTGGTTAGGTTTGAACCGCCAGCCTTCTGGTTAGCGGTCAAGTCCCTTAGGCACTACACTACCAGAGGTTTTACAATTACAAATACATTATGTTATGTTTGTGATAATTATTTTTCGAGTGCCTACCTTGTAAAAGGTTTTGGAGATACAGCAGTGAACATAGTCAAGGTTCTTGCCCTCAGGGCTTAAATTCTAGTAAGGGGATAAAGACCTTAAACAAATAAGAAAATATCAGATTATGAAGATATTTACAGTAACTAATAAAAATCTGCAAACGTTTGCATGTGTGTGTGTACATGTATATATGCATGCATGCTAACGAGATACCAATCAAAAAGGTATGTCAAGGTGACAGAAATGAGTACGAAGTGGTAGTTGATCCTACACTAAAGATTTATTGGGCTGGAAGGTAGGAGGAGTAGTGTAAAGCTGTGTAATTGTTTTGATTTAAAGTGATTGAATAATTGGAGGGAATCTCAAAGTTCAAGATTTGACCTTGGGCAGAGCAGTATAAACTACTTTTCAGTGACTTGGTACATTTTCAAGAGAGAAAAGATTTAATGGTACTTTCAATGCTAACCTAAATATTGACTTCGTAGCATAGTGGCTAAGGCATTTGACTACTAACCAGATGGCTGACAGTTCAAACCCACCAGCCATTCCTTGGAAGGAAGGTTGGGTAATCTCCTCCTGTAGTGATACTGCCTCAGAAACCCAAGGAGAGGTTGCTGTGAGACGGGTGTGACTCAACGGCAGTGAATTTGGTTTTTTTTTGGGGGGGGGGGGGTTTCCAGGTCTTCTATAATTCTGGCACAAGAAATTATATTTAGAGTCAGATAGAAAGCAGTAAATTTGATAAAATAGATGTATAATGGTTTGTGCACGTTTAATGTTTTAAGGAAGAATAAAACGGCATGGTTTTTAGGCTATGAACAGATTGTAATCTTTCATCCCCCTCTTTTTGCAGCTGAGGAAACTGCCAGATTATCTAAAATGAAAATTAATGTAGTTTTACCACTGATAGAAACTAGATGAAGGGACACAGGACCTCTCTGTATTATTTTGGCAACTTCATGTGAATTCTAATTATTTCAAAACAAAAAGGTTTTAAAAGCAGAAATAATTTTTAAATATTGATGTGTTTTTCATCTTTTCCAGTTTGTGGAGGACTATGAGCCTACCAAAGCAGACAGCTATCGGAAGAAGGTAGTACTGGATGGGGAGGAAGTCCAGATTGATATCTTAGATACTGCTGGGCAGGAGGACTATGCTGCAATTAGAGACAACTACTTCCGAAGTGGAGAGGGTTTCCTCTGTGTCTTCTCTATTACAGAAATGGAATCCTTTGCAGCAACAGCTGACTTCAGGTATGTGATCTGACGTAGTGCATGACAAGTTTCTTCCCCAAAACAAGTGGACAGGTAGATGATTTTTGCTATTAGTCTTTCAGCTCTGTGCATACTTTTGTTTATTTCCTCTTTGATATTAACTTAGGACCCTACGCATTGTGTGCTTACAGTCAGATAATTCAATATGTCTTACATGGTCTTACAGCTATCCCCATGTCAGTTGTATTAGAATTTGAATTTGTGATAGCTTCAAGTACCCAAAATCTCTTCATATTGCTGAAGTATTTTTCTTTGGAATAAAATAGTACTACTGCCATAATAAGGAGCTCTGGTGGCGCAGGGCCTAAGACATTTTACTGCTAACCAGGAGGCTGGAGGTTCAAACCCATCAGCTGCTCCACAGAAGGAAGATGTGTCAGTCTACTTCTATGAAGATTTACCCCCTCGGAAACCCAGTGGTGGTCGATATGAGTTGGAATTGACTCGAAGGCAGTGAGTTTTGAGTTACTGCCATAGTAGTTAATACTTAAATCACATCATGGAGCTCTGACCCGGATTTTAAATCTTCCTGTTGGTCACTGGTTTTTCAGTACCTGTGTGATGCTCAGTAGGCACATTGTAATCTTCCTCACCATACAGATGCCCTAACAGCATGAGCTGAATGTTTTCAGTAGAAATAATATTACCATAGGTTGGCACACTTGGTTGTGTTTTTTAATCAAATTCTGGCATCCATTTGGATTATAGGGGAGGCTTTAATGAAGAGGTGAGGAAGTCTTCTTTCTGTAAGTGAAATTTGACATAAGTAGAGTTGTTGAGTAGTCTCACAAATACTACATATACTTTAATTATATATTTTCATTTCTTTGTTAAGCATTTGCTTTGGATTGTGGGAGACACAAAAGAAGCATGTAATTTAGCCTCTGTTTTCAAGATGCAAACAGCCTACTTGAATATATAAGGCATGAAACCAAGAGCAAGTTAGTGACAAAGTAGGAGATATGGGCAGTGATCAGTAGGGCATCCAGGAGGGTAGAGGGGCTGGGAAGGCTTCATGAAATGGATGGGCCTGAATGATAATGGTTTCCACAGATGAGTGAAGAAGGCATGTTAGGTATTTGAACAAAAATCAGAACCTGGACTTGTACAAAGCATTCCTTTTTTATGTATACTTGAAGGTCTCAGGAACTTAAAGGGTTCTGAACACTTCACAAAAACATGTCATTGAGCAACTTACAAAATATAGATTCATTTGTAAAATTAAGTTTGTTGGTTTCTGTAAGGAAAGAATTTCATATATGGTACAGTGTAAAAAAAGGCATTTACAAACCATGGTAATATATAATCCTGGAAGACATGTTGAAAGTTATATAAATGTCAATATTTATTCATTTATTCAGCAAATATTTGGGTATTTATTATGTAGGAGGTCCTGTGCTAGGTACTAGAATAAATTTTATCACCATAGTCACCAAAGCCAAAGTGGCATCTCAAAGGAATGAGTATTTTTATGCCAAGAGAGAAAATCATGGGCTATTGCTATCACAGAATATAAACAGATGATTCATTTTATTTTGAAAAAGTTCCATTGTACCTCCAATGTGTTGCCCTTCTGATAAATAAAAAATGACCCTAGTTACTCACCATCAATAGACAGGTATTTTTGAGAAGATCTGAAGGTTACAGCAAGACCTTCCCCATGGGCTAACCTGCAAATTATAGCATAGATGTCAGCCCCTGTTTTGCATCTTTCTGAGCATTCCCACCAGTAAGGCTTCCTCATCTGTGTATGCGATTTACTTGATACAGCTCCAGTATCATACTTACCATACTCCTTTACTGATCTTGATGTATGTGTGTGTTTTCTTGATAAGGTGAAAACAATTGAGAGCAAGACCCACTTCTTATTCATCCCAGGTATCGTTAGTACCTGTATTGTCACAGTTGCTAACGTAGAACATTTGACACGTTCTTAGTAAACCTTTGATTTTATTTGAAAACTCCCTTACCCTTTTGGTTCTCACTTTCCTTATGTCAAAAATGAAAAAAAAAAAAAAAGGTACTCTCCTATCCTCAAATTCTGTAATGCCCTTTAGAATTACATTTAAAGACAGCATCATATTAAGCAGAGTAGATAAGAAGATTATGGGCATAGTATTACCTTTCTTTGGCATCCAGGAAAGTAGCCAGTGAAACCAACTTATTAACTGTAAAGAATAGAGTTCTTCTCAACTCTGAGCCCAGAAGTTCCAGGTGTTCCACAGCCTTTTTTGTGGTAGCTTTGATCACACTGTAATTTATATTATTCTCCTACAGCACCTGACTCAGTGTAGCTTAGTAAATATTTGTAAACAAACAAATTAATGAATATATACATATATGACCAGAAATGTTAGAGTCCCAAACACCTGAGTGAAGCTCATATTCCTGGTGTAACACACTAGCTTGAGACCAAGTGGTTAGTCAATCACCATTTTAACATCAGCAAACCTCTTAGTTTTAGGCTGTTGATGGTGAAGGAAATTGGTTAATAAAGTCACAGCAGAATAGTTATTACCAACCCTGGGAAAAGGTTAGGATTAGCCAAAATCCTCTTCACAGATATATCACACATATAATAGCAACATTGGTGACTGTAGACATGCTTTCTACAAGAAATTGTGAATGTGGGAAACATTACAGCACTGTGTAGTGCTGTCCAGCTTAACATATATCACCCAGACACCATGCTCAGTTAGTATTTTTATTTTCCTAAAGAACGTTTACGGCACGTACAAATCAGTGAGGGGTGGAGATGACTTATATGTGGTGCATATTCTGTTCATGTTAATGTGAGATATCAGAATGTTTGATCTCTCTAATGTTAAAAGAACCAAGAATAGTATTTGCTTTCAGATTCAGAGAATTTCCTGCAGTTACTGAGTCTGTTAGAATTTTTGCTACACCATCAGCAATCAGGTAAATGAAGTAGTAGTAATAATAATAATAATACCACCTAATAGTTATGTGGGAGCTGTGGTGGCATAGTGCCTAAGGCACTTGACTGCTAACCAGAAGGCCAGCATTTCAAACCCACCAGCCACTCCTCAGAAGGACGATTGGGCAGTCTACTTCTGTAGTGATACCTCCTTGGAAACCCAAGGAGTAGTCACTATGAGTTGAATCTGACTCGGAAACCCAAGGAGGAGTCACTATGAGTTGGATCTGACTCAACGGCAGTAAGTGAGAGTGAGTGAATACTTACATGGCATTTACCAGACACATCTCTTCAAAGCAGGGCTTTATTTACAGTGTAGCATCTTACAGTTATAATTGACAGCTGTTTTTCCTAGTGGTACTTAAAATAATGTTTATAGTGACTGAGTTCTTAGATTTGATAGCTTTTTTAAAAGTATTAAAGTTTATAGATGAAGGAACGGAAGCAGAGAGAGGTTAACTCACTAGTCTCAGGCCCTGCACGGGGGAGTGACAGAGTAAATTAATATCCAGGAGGTCTGGCCCCATGTTCTTGCTTTTAATGACTGTGCTCTATTGGATCTCATCAGTTAATGATGATTCTTTTATAAAACCGCATGGCCACCACATTTCAAGTTTTAAAAGTGGAATATGGTTTGTTGCCTGTTTAGCTTTTTTCCCTATTGTTATTTTTTAATATATTAAGCATTTTTATAGGGAGCTCTGGTAGCATAGTGCCTAAGGCACTTGACTGCTAACCAGAAGGCTGGCGGTTCAAACCCACCAGCCACTCCTCGGAAGGAAGATGGGGCAATCTACTTCTGTAGTGATACTGCCTCGGAAACCCAAGGAGGGGTCGCTATGAGTCGGGTCTGACTCGACGGCACAAAATCACAACAACAAGAAGCATTTTTATATAGGGTATGTAATTAAACTGTTCTGTGATGTTGTAGTATAATACTACTTTTTATCTTGTCAATACCAGTTTTAATCCTCCACTGAAACAACTAATTTAAAACATTTTTTATGAAAGGTAAAAGGTCTTTGTGTGACCCACACTTTCCTATCACCTTTTGTTTTCCTCACATTCCTCCGTGAGATCACTCTATGTAATAAAAAAAAAGTTATTATGTATATAATATATATAGTTATATATTATATATATATATATGTATATGATTTTTATATAGTTAAATGTGTAATGCAGTTATATATAATACATGTGTTATATGTTACAGCTAGTGACTATATATAATATACAAGTTTCCCCTCTGCCCATCTGTAACTTTGCTATGCAAAGGAAACTTTATATGACATGGAAAGCTACACTGTAATTCCCAGTGGACATCTTAATTTCCACTCCATGTCAGAGGAAGGGTCTCATGATGAACTACTGGGAATTTAAACCTTCCTTGAACAAGAAATTGTTCTCTAGCTATCCTGTTAATTGGGAGGTCCAAAGGCATCCGTTGTTGAAGCTGAGTGCATACATGGAGTTAGATTGCTCAGGTTCAAATCCTAATTTTTCTACTTAACTTCTGAGTAAGTTATATAATTTCTCTGTGCCTTAGTTTCCTTGTTTCTTAGATGAGAATAATAGTAGGTTTGGGATGCAGATTAAATGAGATAATGTGAGTAAAGTATTTAAAACATTGCCTAAGAAGCACAAAATAAACTGTCTCTTACAATAAGTCATGATGAAGATTTTTACTCAGTCCTTCAATCATTAGTATAAAATCCTCTGCAAAATCAAGTGCATGTTGCTAATCTGTCATTCTAATGTTGTTGTGTAATCTGCCATCAAGTCAAATTGACTGAGTCACCCTATATGACAGTAGAACTGCTCCATAGGTTTTCGGAATTTTCCGAAGCTGTAACCTTTTTTTTCTTTTTCTCTCTCTTAAATTGTGACTTGGGTGAAACTTTACAGAGCAAATTCACTTTCCATACAGCAGCTCACATACACTTTGTCTTATGACATTGACTACAGTTTTCCATATACAGCAGCTCCCCTCCCACTTCCTCCTCATAGTTACCTCTTCCCTGTGTCCTTCTCTCCATGCACTCCTGCCCCCTGAGCTGTCTCCCTGTGTATACACAGCCCTTCTATACTCCCATGATTGTTCTCTCCAAGGAGTTTGTGTTAGGCTGGGTTGTCTAGAGAAGCAAAACCAGTAAAGCTTGTATATGTAGAGAGAGAATTTTATCTTAGGAAAATGGCTCACACGCTTATAGAAGCTGGCAAGTCCAAAGTTCTTGGATCAAACATCAAGTTGGAGGCTTTTCCTGACTAACAGAACTGCAGGAGCTGACAAGCTCAAGGTTGGCAGGCAGTATACCAACTGTTGACTCCAACGAATGAGGAATCCAAGATCTCCAGGCCAAATGGTGGATTGTTCGCTCACGGACAGTTGCATGTAGCACGACAGGATCCTGATCCACAGAAGGGTTTCTCTTTTCCCAGGATGTCCCTAAATATATTGGAAGCAGACTGCATCCCTAGGGAAACTCCCTTTCAACGGATTGGCTACTCAAAACATACACATCCGATCCCATCATGGGAATAACCCACATCACAATTGCTTAACAACACAGAATTATGGTCCAGCCAAGTTGACACACAGCTCCATCAATCACAGAGTGTGTCTGCCTAGTGTAAATGTTCAGCTCATATACCTGTCTTTTGTTTGGTTGGAAGCCACAGGTGTGGGTTCAATTCCAGATCTGAAGGGCAGCTGGGGACCATAGTCTCAGTGGTTCCATCAGTCTCTGTCAGACCACCAAACGAAGCTATAATCTTTATGAAAGCTGATCGCCAAGTCTTTTCTCCCAGAGAGCTGCTGGTGGGTTTGAACCACTGACCTTTTGGTTGGCAGCTGAGTGCTTAACCATTGTGCCACCAGGGTTCCTTATCATTGTAATACTTCCTTTAATTATCTCATTTTCTTTTAGTCCAAAATACTCACATACCTGTAGTTTCAATATCTTTTCATAACTTCAAAGGAGAGGTGTCTATAAAAGAGCAAGAGGGTAAGCCTGAGTCTTACAGATGTTTTTAGTTAGTTGATTTTACAAGAAAACATCTTCCTCTAGTGGATTATTGATAGTCGTAAGAACAGCTGATATTTACTGGATATTTACTAAGTGCAAGGCACAATTCTAAGCATTTTACATTTAATTCTCATACCAACTCTATAAGAAACATATCGTTTGTGATACATGAGAAAACTGAGGCAACGAAGTACCTGACTCAGTTACATGACTAGGCAGGTGACATTTCTAAGCATATAACTTATCTCTAAATGTAAAGTCTACACTCAAGAGGTGGATTTCAGGTATTTCTGGCATACGTGGTGGTTTAAATATTTAGTTTGATGTGCTGTGATGAGAATGGTGTTCTACCTCTGTGCTCCTTCCTCCCCAAAACCCATACCTCTGTTTAATCATGACGAAAACATCAGATGTATCCCAGCTGAGGCACATTGTACAAATGACCTGACCAGCATATCTCAAAGATGTCAAGGTCATCTAAAATGAGGAAAGTCAGAGAATCTCACAGCCAAGCAGAACCAAAGGAAATAGGATGACTAAATGTAATATAGTATCCTGGATGGGATCTTGTAATAGAAAATAATAGTAGATAAAAACTAAAGAAATCTGAATAAAATAAGGATTTTAGTTAATAATAATGGTTATTGGTTCATTACTTGTGCTATATGGACCATGCTAATATATTAGCAATAGGGGAAACTAGGTGTAGGGAACACGAGAACTCTCAATATACTATCTTTGCAACTTTTCTGTAAACCTAAAACTTTCAAAATACAAAGTTTAATTTTCAAATGAAGCGTTTAAAGGGAAATTGCATGTGACTCTCATTGGCACCTCTACTACTAGGCTTACATGTTCTTCTCTGGTGTATTTTACTTGATCAGTGAAGTGATTGTGTAACTCAAATGATTGATTGATAAGGAAGAAGTACTGATGATTAACTACCTTTATTGTCTTTATATGGAAACATATAAATTGTAAATAAATGCTGATTGCAGATGATTCTTTGTTGTTTTGTACTAGTAATGTTAATATTTTCTTCTGATTTTCTCTTATCCAGAGAGCAGATTTTAAGAGTAAAAGAAGATGAGAATGTTCCGTTTCTGCTGGTTGGTAACAAATCAGATTTAGAAGATAAGAGGCAGGTTTCTGTAGAAGAGGCAAAAAACAGAGCTGATCAGTGGAATGTCAACTATGTGGAAACATCTGCTAAAACACGGGCTAATGTTGACAAGGTAAAATGTGATTACTGCGTCATGTTAGAAATAGGATGATTTGCTTTAACTTGGCCCCATTTTGCTTGGATAGTCTATGAAACTTTCAAGGAGACAGTTTTCTTTTTAGTATATGTTGATTTTTATTAGTCCTGAATGCTCAAGTACAACATGTTAGGAATCACTTACTTGTCCATAGGTTTCCAAGAGACATTCAAGCATGAGACACTACAGCTAAATGTCTTTTTTAGTGTTGGCAGGATTCCTAACCTGAAACTCTGCCTTTTTTTCTTACTTGGATGGGCTGGATAATTTAAAAGGAATTACATAAATCCCAAGATGCCAGCACTGAGCTTCCTGGCCTCTGACCTCATTCCTGCCTGCCCTTATCAAGTTCTCGAAAGTGAAGATGCCTCCCAGGATGAAGGAAGCCAAGATAAGAAGAGGGTTCTAAAATCTCTGTTACTAGTACTGTGCTCCCCACCCTCAACCTTTATTTCTCCCTGAGTAGAAGGGGAAACACTGCCTTGCATTTCTGTGGTGTTTTCTCCACCCTCTCCCCTTAGTTTGTCTTGGTTCAGAGTGGGCCTTCATGGGGCAGACCTGGTATGGAACACCCTAGTTACTAAGTTTGTGAAATCCTCCAAATGCATTTCATTCTGTTGGAAATCATCTTCAGTATTGAGGAAGCCTGCCCTTTGGGCAGAGCCAGCTCAGGTTCTTAACAGTGCTTCAAACCAGTTCATTCTGGTTCTACCCCCTGCTGAGAATTTTTATTTCCACCCCAGGTGATTCTTAGGGATCCCCAGGGGATCTTGTTAAAATGTAGATTGTGAATACATGTACCTACAGTGAAAATGTAAATTCTCAACAGGACATCAAATTGGATGAACCTTTTTGAAGCCTTGGGTCTTATCCTTGCATGACCCACAGGACACGTAGCATCCATCTACATTTTCCTCTGGGGTTTATTGGGTAGCTTTCTGACTGACAGTGCAGGCAGACATCAGGAGGGGACCTGTATTACTGTTTGAAATGGAAGAAATGGGTGTGTGCCACATGTTAACTGTTTTTACAGGGTATTGTATGAGATGATGCATCCTGGAGGTGTGATATTGCAAAACTTTTGTCTCTCTTGGCTTTTTTATTGGGAGTTAAGCCTTGTAAGTATATTTCTGGGTTCCTGTACTTATTTGGAAGATTCTTTCTCTCATGATTCTGTGTTCACATGAATACTACATTTTTGGGCTGCCCAAATTGTATGCATCTGTCAAGGGGTCTAGAAGGTGTGGAGAGCCTAGAGGGATATATGTGTCCCAGAAAATCCTACCCCTTCCCCCAGAGTCCAGAGAGACATATATATCCCACATAATGTATCAACATCCATATTTCACAGCAAGATTTCCGAAATGCTCCTTGATTTAGCATGTCTCCCATTGATGGACACATACATGATATCAACAGCAAATTCAAAACAGGAAAGGGCTAAAGCCCTCCTATTGGGGCTTCTCTTCAGTTCCCAAATATCTAGAGTCTACAGCTGTACCTCTCAAATGTTAATGTGCTAAAAGAATTGCCTAAAAGCTTGATTAGCACAGGTTCCTGGGTCCTACCCTTTCCCCTAGAGATTTTGATTCATTTAGTTTGGACTGGGGCCTGGGAATTTGCATTTCCATCAAGCCCCCAGATGATGTGGACTGTGGCTAGGCAGACCATGCTTTGAGTAACACTACTCCAGGTGTTAGTGGACTGATCAGTTTGTGCCTGTAGACTCAACCCAGATGAAGAAATCCTTAGGTTTAAAAATAAAAAAAAATACTTGCTGTTCATTTGCTATAGGTCTTTAGGTTTTTTTAGTCACGTGATCAGATAGCTATAGATCAAAGATACAAAGATCAATGCTGTGAGATTTCTACTCATGCTAGTTGTTTTTTGTTCTTTTGTTTTTTTTAGTTAGGGCAAATATTTTTAAAGTACCAAGAAAATTATGTTTTAGGGTTCACAATGTTTGGTGTTGTGGGAAGGAAACATTGAGTGTTATCGTTGTTGTTGTTGTTGTGTGCCGTCGAGTCGGCCCCAACTCATAGCGACCCGTCCTTGGGTTTCCGAGGCGGTATCACTACAGAAGTAGGATTTCCCAAGTTTCCTTCCGAGGAGTGGCTGGTGGGTTTGAACTGCCAGCCTTCTGGTTAGCAGTCAAGTGCCTAGGCACTATGTATAGCATATATAAAAACTTTTATTTGTTTGAGCTGGTAATAGACTATTAAAGTATATTTGAAGTAGGGAAGTAAGGCAAACATGAATTGTCCAAGGCCCAGGGTAGTCACCTGACTAGGGAAGTAAGATGGTATGTGTTATCAGAGCTCTTACAGCACAATAACAGAAAGACCAATAGCCCTGTGGAAAAATGGTGAAAACACATTGCAGAAAGGATGAAGCAGGGGTGTTGTCTGACCTCCTCTAACTTCACAAGGTAGAGAAACACTATCAGCGCCAACAGCCCAAGGCTGATTCCTATGAGGCAGAGGTCAGGCATGCTGCTACCTGTCAACCTTTTCCCAATTCTAACACCAGCTGTCCCTCCCAGGCACTCACTACTTCCCTGCTGGGTTCATTCTAGCCATAATTCATTGCAGTGGCCACACAGAACTCACAGACAATCCTCAGGATTATGAGGCTCATTAGAGAAGTAATAGGTTACAATTTAGGATCAGAAGCAACTCAGGATACTGTTCTTCGATCAGTACACCTTCTTCTTAGCTGTCCTGCAGGCATGCTTCTTTCTGGCCTTGGCCTCTTGGCCCTGTGACCCGTTGTGCTCTGCCTTGCTTGGGCAAGTGTTACAAAGCTCTTAAGGAACTCTGGTGGCATAGTGGGTAAGGCATTTAGCCGTTAATCAGAAGGTTAGTGGTTCAAATCCACCAGCTGCTCCGTGGGAAGAAGATGAGGCAATCTACTTTCGTAAAGATTTACAGCCTTGGAAACCCATTAGGGGTCACTATGAGTTGGAATTGACTGGATGGCAAAAGCTTGATAAGCACAGGTTCCTGAGTCCTACCCTATTCCACAAGCTTTTTTGTCGTTGTTGGATAGGTGCCTAGAGCCACCCCACTCCCCCAGCAGCCTTCCTACCTGAAGGCACTGCTTTCATCCTCTGTCAGCCAGGAAGCCCACTGCTCTGTATTGTGCTGGGATCTGCTGCAACAGTTTCTTGCCATCTCAGCAAAGTGTTACAGCTCTGTCTGTCTCCTGGGTCAGGGAGGTTCAGTACAGGAATCTCAGATCCAAAGAACATGTTCTGCTCCTGGCTCTTTTTTGATGGTATTGAGATCCCCTCACCACCCTTTTTCCACCTTTGGGATGGCTCATTTTTAGCCTAGCAAGATGGCAAAACTGACCAATCCCCACAGTAGTGTTCTGTACACCTTATTTGCACAGCCCCATCCACACAAGGGCACCATGTACCTTAGTTACATTAACAGGCTGTCCAATCCCTCTGGTGAGCCACAGCACCTCACATTTGCATAGTCCTACCCAATCATCTGGTGGGAGTCATAGACCATGGCTAGAAGGGCCATATTAAATAACTCACTGCACCACTCACATAAACAGGCATGCTGCAATGACGAAATGCTAATGGCTTTTAAACTTAAAAGGCTTCTCTTAGTTAACTAGTGCTGCTGTAATAGAAATACCATAAGTAGATGGCTTTAACAAACAAATTTATTAAAGTTTAGGAGGCTCAAAGTCCGAATTCAGGGTGCTGGCTCTAAGAAAAATTTTTCTCTCTGTCAGCTCCAGAAGAAGGTCCTTGTCTTTTTAGCTTCTCTGGTTCCTTGGAGATCTCTATGTGGCTTGGCATCTACCTTCCCCTCTATCTGCTTCCTCACTTACTCATTTACTCTCTTTTATATCTCACAAGAGGTAGACTCAAAATATACCCTGTACTAATCCTGTACTAACCTAACAAAGATAACACATTCCCAAATGGGAGTAAAACACAGACATAGAAGCAAGAATTTACAACATATATTGAGAGGGAAGGGGCACAGTCTCACTTATAAAAAGAGAAATGTCATTAAAAATGTGACACATTTTTCACCTGTCAGATTGGAAAAAACTTAAAAGGTTGACCATAGACTGTTGGTAAGAATGTAGAAAAACAGCAGCTCATATGTTGGTGGAAGGACACTTTGGCAGTGACCTATCAAAATTGTTGTTGTTGTTATGTGCAGTCGAGTTGTCTCCTACTCATAGTGACCCCTCCTTGAGTTTCTGAGGCACTATCTCTATGGAAGTAAATTGCCCAATCCTCCTTTCAAGGTGTGGCTAGTGGTTTTGAACTGCCAGCCTTCTGGTTAGCAGTCAGATGCCTTAGGCACTATGCCACCAGAGCTCCCGCTATCAAAATTATGACCCAGTAATTCAAGTTCTAAAAATATCTTGTATAGATAAAACCATAAGTCATACATATTAAATATATATCCAGTAATAGTCATAGAAGCAAAAAACTGGAAATAATCCAAATATCTAGTAACAGACTGATTTAAATTACAGTGTATTTATAAATACTATATGCAACCATTAAAAAGAAATGAGTGTAGGACTAAAGGTACTGATGTGGAACATCTTCAACATAATGTAAGTAAAAAAAGCAAGGTGCAGAACAGTGTCTATAATCTGCCATCTCTGTTTTAAATAAGCACACACACAGCAGAAGGATGTGTAACAATCTGGTCCCTGTGGTAGCCACCAGAGAACTAAGCCACAGTTCATGCTCTCTTTGCTGTTAATACTCTTCTGTACTTCTGTATTTGAATGTTTTACTATGTATATTACTTTTTCAAAAGAGAAAAATGTGTAGGGCTGACTTAATTACTATGGCCATATAACAGGATATATCCCTAAACTTAAATAGTGAAACAGCCACTTACCATGCTTAGGATTTCTGTAGGCTAAGCATTTTGATAGGGGTGGGGGATGGCTTGTCTCAGTTATACAGTGTGTAGTACCTCAGAGTG